TTATTGATTTCTAGTTTTATTCCATTGTGATATGAGAAGATACTTGGTATGTTTTCAGTTTTTTAAGTGTGTTGAGACTTGTTTTGTGACTCAACATATGGTCTGTCCTGAAGAATGTGCCATGTGCTGATGAGAATTGGTATTTTGAAGCTGTTGAATAAAATGTTCTGTAGATATCTAATAGGTCTATTTGGTCTAAAGTGTGGTTTAAATCCAGTGCCCATTTATTAATTTTTCTGTCTAGATGATCTGTCTAATGTGAAGAGTAGGGTGTTGAATTTCCCAATTATTATTGTATTAAAGTCTATCTCTTCTGTTAGCTCTAATAATATTTGCTTTATATATCTATGTCTGCTGCTGTTGGATGTATGCGTATTTAGAATAGTATATCCTCTTGATGAATTGACCCCATTAGCATTCTTTGCCTCTTTTTACTGTTTTGTTTACAGGATAAGTGAGTTTGCTATGGGCAACATATAGTTAGTTGGATCATGTTTTTTTTTTAAATCCACTCAGCCAGTTTATAAATTTTAAGTGAAAAATTCAGTCTGTTTATAATCAAGGTTATTATTGATATGTGAGGACATATTCTTGTCATTTTGTTAATTTTTTTGGTTATTTTTTATATCTTTTGTTCCTTTTTCTGTTTTCGTTTATCTTTGGGGTTTGGTGATTTTCTGTAGTGGTAATATTTGAATCTTTTCTCTGTGTTTTCAAATTTTGCTTTCAGGTGTAGATCTCCCTTAAGCGTTTCTTACAGGGCAGGCCTAGTGATGATGAATTCGCTTGTCTAGGAAAGACTTTCTCTTTCATTTATGAAGGATAATTTTGCTGCATATAGTATTTTTGGCTGCCAGTTTTTTTCTTTTGTTTTTTCTCTCAGCATTTTGAATCATCCCATCCTCTCCTGGCCTGTAAGGTTTCTGCTGAGAAATCCATTATGAGTCTATTTAGGGTTTCCTTATATGTGACTAGACACTTTTATCTTGCTGTTTTTAGAATTCTTTTTCTTTAACTCTTGATGGTCTGATGATAATGTACCTTCAGGACCTTTTTGGGTTGTACTTATTTGGGGATCTTTAAGGTTCCTGTATCTGGTCATCAAAATCTCTTGTTAGAATTGAAAAGTTTTCAGCTATTATATTGTTAAATAGATTTATTTACGCCTTTGGGCTTCTCTTCTCTTCACCTTCTGGAATCCTCATAATTCAAAACTGTGTTTGCTTTATGGTATCCTATATGTAATGTAGGCTTTGTTCATTCTTTCTCTCTTTTTTGTTGTCTGACTGGGTTACTTCAAAAGACCTGTCTTCAAGTTTTGAAAACTCTTTCTTTGGCTTTATGTAGTATATTGTTGAAATTCTCAATTGAATGTTTTATTTCATTCACTGAATTATTCAGTTCCAGGATTTCTGTTTGGTCCTTTTTAATGATATCTATCTTTTTGGTGAATCTCTCATTCGTATCCTGAATTGTTTTTCTGATTTCTTTGTATTCTTTATCTGTGCTTTCTTGTCTCTCACTGAGATTCTTTAATATCGTTAATTTTTTGAGTGAATTTTTTTAGAAATAAAGACAGGGTTTCACCATGTTGCCCAAGCTGGTCTCAAGCTATTGGGCTCAAGCAGTCGACTTACCTCAGCCTCCCAAAATGTTGGGATTACAGGTGTGAGCCATCATGCCTGACCATATCATTATTTTGAATTTTTTTCTTACAGCTCATAAATTTCTTTCTGATTAAATCTGTTGCTGGAGAATTATTGTGTTTCTTTGGAGGTGTCATCTTTTCTTGCTCTTTCATGTTTCTTGTGTCATTATATTAATATATGTGCATCTAGTTTAACAGCCACTTCTTTGAATTTATTGAATTGACTTTTTTAGGAGAAGACTTTTTCCTGAAGATGTGTTTATGGTATTGATTGGGTAGAGAACTTTGGTTTTGATTCTGGGTGCATGCAATAGTGTAGTCCCCATATGATTTATTCAGGTATACACAGCATCACTGGTGTCTGTGATTTCCTTGGTGGCTTAGATTGCAATTGTTAGTGGAGGCTGGGGTGAGGTTATGCTGGGGAAGGCAGGCCATTTCTTGGGCCCCAGGAGTGGCAGCAGCTAGCCAAAGCATACCTGTCCTTGGGCCCCTGAGCAGTATAGGCAGGAAGTGGTGTTAGCAGGTCCAAGCAGGCTGATTCTTGGGCTTCTAGGCAGCTTGCTTAGGTGCCAGCAGTGTTAGTGGTGGGCTGGGTGGGTGGATGTGTGTTTGCGTCCCCAGGCAGTGTGTGTTAAATGGATGATGGCTGTAGCAGTGGTGACAACCTTTGGGTTCCCAAGCAGTATACACTTATATTAGTGGTGGTGGTAACATGCTGGGCAGACCAAGGAGCAAGTATGGGTGAGTGCCAGCTGCTATGGTGGTGGCCAGTTGAGTGGGCCTGTGCTCAGGTCCCTGAGAGGAGTACACAGATGCCAGCAGTGGTAGATGGGACGGGGCAAACCCCAGAGCCCTGAGTGTGGTCAAACACTGGATGGGGGACAGTGCCAGGCCCGAGGGGCTGTCCTAGGCCTGAGGGGCTGTCCTCAAGTCCCCCAGTGGTGCATACAGGTGCTGCCTGTTGTGAGTTGGACTGGGTGATCTGCAAGTCCCCCTGGCAGAGTGCTCAGATGGCAGCAGCAGTGGCAATGGGTGGAGAGAGCTCATCCTGAGGGCATGTGAAGGGAGCTGTGGTCCTGCTGCAAGGGGTGGGGTGAGGTTGCTGTTAGTGGCTGCAGCCACTGGCAGGTGGCTCTTGGGTTCTGGGAGCACACATTCAGCTCCCAGCAGCAATGGCCATGGCAGTAGCGGCAGCAACAGTAGGGAGAGCCAGTCTTCAGGGCACGTGCAAGAGTGTAGTGGCCCTGCTGCCAAGGGAATGAGTGGTACAAGGTCGTTGCCAGTGGCATATGCTTCAGCCCCTCAGCTGTGGGTGGGAGACTCCATCTTCGGGGAACATGCACATGCATGGTAGACCTGCTGCTGGTGGCGGCAAGGTTGCTATCAGTGACAGTGGCCCCAGGTAAGTGGGTTTCAGGCTCTGGGGAACACACACTTTGGCTCCCTTTGTCTCAAGGGCAGCCTCTTCAGTGTATTGCATTACACATTCCCCCGGGTGCAAGACACCATGAAGAGTCCAGGTGGACATACGAGTATGTCAGTGGGGCTCTAGGGATGTGGAGATGCAGGGACTGTTGGGCCCCAAGGAAGGATGCAGTCTGGGAGGGGCTGGACTCTCAAAATGGTGCCATCCTGTGCTGCTTAGTACTTCAGGGTGGGGGAGGGGTGGTGGGAGCCAGCATGGGCTCCCCTGGGGAGCAATGCCGTTGTGTGGTCTCCAGGCAGCACTCTATTACTAGTCTCAGGGCCCATGAAGATTGAGGAACGCTCCCATGGTGAGGATTGCAGGAGTCCGCAGTACAAATGTGGACTGCTAGGGATCTTTCACGTACCATTTCCCTGCACTGGGAAGCCTCTCCCAGCCAATCCCAGCTCCTTTTGTGCCTTGTGTGTTTCCTGTCACCTCTCTGTTGAATTCCAGTGTTGTCTCTTAGATGCCCTTTTTGAAGTGTGAATATCTACTTGCTATTTTGGATTTTGGTTCTACTTTGTTCAGGAAGTGAGTACCAAATGCCTCGTCAACCATCTTGACACCCCTCCCATATAGAGTTGTTTATATGTATTTATTTTCTTTTTCCGCTTCATTTCTTGACCAGAGTTTTTTTGTCCTATATTATTTGGGTTTTATTATATCTATATTTTATTTTTAGCTATTTCAAATTCTTTTTTTGTTGTTGTTTTTTGATCTGTCACTCAGGCTGAAGTGCAGTGGTGCAGTCATGGCTCACTGCAGCTTCAATCATCTTCTGAGCTCAAGCAATCCTCCCACCTCAATGTCCTGATTCACTGGGCTCCAGGCTTTCACCACCACATCCAGCTTATTTTTGGGGGATGTTTTAGTAGAGTTGAGGTCTCACTTTGTTGCTTAGGCTGGACTCAAGCTCCTGGCCTCAAGCCATCCTCCTGCCATGGCCTCCCAAAGTGCTGGGATTATAGGCATGAACCACTGCACCCGGTGTTCACATTCTTTTTTAAAAATAGGTGGGGGCTGGGCACAGTGGCTCACGCCTATAATCCCAGTGCTTTTCGAGGCTGAGGCAAGAAGATCACTTGAGCCCAGGAGTTTGACACCAGCATGGGCAACATAGTGAAACACCATGTCTAAATAAAGAAATAAATAAACAAAGTAGGTAGGATGTAAACAATCCAATGGAAGAAATAGATATCTTACGTTCATCGCCTTTTCATACAATCAGTAAATGAATCGGTTGTCTGTAGTTCCCAATGGCATAAGAAAATCCCTTACATCGGATCTAGTTTTCTGCTTTCTGTAAGAGGTAGCAAGACCACAGAAGAGCAAGAGTCAATGTCGGCAGATGATGTGTGAAGTAATCTTACCAGAGGAGAGCAGGAAAGTGAAAACTGGATATGAGCCTCCAGCAACTGAATCATTCAAAAGGGAGTACTTGTGGGAGTAAGAACAAAGTGATCCAAACTCCGTAAGAGAAGAGAGCTTAGAAAATGACTGTTTGGTCTCTGGGTAGAAGCAAAGACAAGAGGCCTTATGGGATGGAAAAGTGTCCTCATTTATTTCCAAATAAGATTTGAGGTGACATAACACTAAAACAATTACTAAAAATGTAAACTAGAATTAAGAAGTAAAGTGGAAGGAGGGAAGACTTAACCACTGTGTTTTAAATTTTAATTTGTTCTTTTCATTGAATGTCAGTTCCTAATGCCAAAATAGAGGCAAATAAATGCAGATTACAGGTTACTCTCTCCAGTTGACTCAAGATTGATTCTTAAAATAGGTGTAAGATTATTTTTAAGTATATAAAATGAAACCTTTGAAAACAGAAAAATTAAAACTTTGAGTTATGTTACATTTAGATGAATTTTGTCACCTTAGGTTTTGCTAGTGGAAGACTCAGAAAAATATGAAGTATTCGGCCAGCCAGATAGAGAAGAGTTCTTGTTTTGTCTTTTCAAACACCTTTGCCTTGGTGGAGCCCTTTGTCAATATGAGGATGTGATTAACCCATATCTGGAAACAACAAAGCTTATCTATAAGGATCTGGTGAGGTAATATTTGCTAGATCACAATATGTAAATCTCTAGTTAATAGAATAAATTATTTGTTTAACCGTGATGGAATTACACAACATCACTCAGTGATCATATTAACAGCCAAAATATATAAAAAGCACTACCCTCACCCCCTTCTCATAACTTTTCCCCTCTCCCAGAATAGAAAGATTTGTGGATTTCTCTCTTATTTAGTTCTCAGTCCTCTCATTCTTCATCTATTTCTTCTGCTTTTCTCCTCATTCAGACCTGTTACCAACTGCCATCTTCCAAGACTTATTTTTTTTTTAACCAAGCCTCCTTTTAAATCTGAAGGCAACAGAAGAGATCCCCCCAGATGTTTGAGTTTGCTTAACTGATAGTAAAAACAATCATTACCTTTGTTCCAAGGAAGTGGAATAATTTTCATGAAGGTGTAATATTTACCTTTTCAAATTAACCCCAAGCTATACAGTTTGTTTGAGTATTCTAGGAGCATTTTTCTTTTTGAAGATAAACTGGGAATTAAAACCTTACAAATTTCTTATTTGTATCTTTTTTTTTTTTTTTGGAAAATTAAAGCAATTAAATTTGTACCTTTTTTTAACTGAAGTGAATATTCTTTGGTTGGGTTTTTCAGTTATGAAGATATTGGATCATCTTAATAGGCAAAACAACAGAAAACAAAGGGTCTTAAAGTTTAGTTATGTAGTTTAATAGGAGAAAACCAGAAGTAGCTTCTCATTGGACTAATAATTATTGCTTTACTTACACTCAACACCTTAATTCTCTTATCCATTCCATGTGTTGTATAGCTATATAGCAAACTGCATAATTTAGTTATTCAATTAATTTATAATGTGTTAAAAACAGAAAAATGTTTCTATAATCTATGATTTTAACGAACAAGTTATTATCAAGAAATCAAGATTATTGGAAGAAGTTATGTTAGAAACAGAATTTCAGAAAAAGCATACACATACCTATTAATATATCAAACATACTGTCCTAATTATTTGAAGTTCATGTAAACCTGCTAGACTGCTTCTAGCACTCCCTAAAGAAACTTCTCTGTATACCCTACACATACACACACACATGCACAAATGCACACACACGCATACTACTACCACTACCACCACAGTGTACCCCATCAGCCACATGAACCTGTGGAATTCCTCACTGCTACTGTGTGCTACTGAGGAGGAGCAGATTGTGTTGGAGATATTTGAAGCAGAAATAAGTTTAGAACCTAAACATTGAAGAAATTGCTATTTTTCCCAACATTCCCTTCTCCAAATTCTCACCTGTGATTCTCTTCTACATTTTTGGATGCTAAGAAAAAGCATGATTACATTACAGTGTGTAACCTACCCTTGTACTAATCCATTCTAGCACAGTCCGTCTCTTATGTTTTTACATGTTGGGGGCACACTACTACAAAGTGTGATTTTAGGAGTCTCTAACTCAAACAAAAGGGTAAAAATGTCATGAAAATATTTTCTTCCTCATCCATTATAACAGGTACTATAAAATACACCCTTTTTATTGTTTTTATATTTTATATTTTATTTATTTATTTTTTATTTTTATTTTTTTGAATCAGAGTCTCACTCTGTTGCTCAGGCCAGGCTGGAGTACAGTGATGTGATCTCAGCTCATTGCAACTTCCACCTCCTGGGCTGCAGAATCAAGGGATTCTCCTGCCTCAGTTTCCCAAGTAGCTGGGATTACAGGCACATACCACCATGCCAGGCTAATTTCTTTTTTTTTTTTTTTTGAGACGGAGTTTCACTCATGTTACCCAGGCTGGAGTGCAATGGCGCGATCTCGGCTCACCGCAACCTCTGCCTCCTGGGTTCAGGCAATTCTCCTGCCTCAGCCTCCTGAGTAGCTGGGATTACAGGCATGTGCCACCATGCCCAGCTAATTTTTTGTATTTTTAGTAGAGACGGGGTTTCACCATGTTGACCAGGATGGTCTCGATCTCTTGACCTCGTGATCCACCCGCCTTTGCCTCCCAAAGTGCTGGGATTACAGGCTTGAGCCACCGCGCCCGGCCTAATTTCTTTATTTTTCATAGAAACAGGGTTTCACCATGTTGGCCAGGCTGGTCTCTAACACCCGACCTCAGGTAATCTGCCCACCTCAGCCTCCCAAAGTGTTGGGATTACAGGCACGAGCCACCACACCTGGCCAAAATATACCTTTTCAATGTTTTTAAAAACCTTTTCCTTAAAAAGATTGGGATTTCTTTAAACCAAATAAGCAATACTTTAGAACCACTTTTGTTAGAAGAGTAAATGATCAGGCTGGGTGTGGTGACTCATGCCTGTAATCCCAGCACTTTGGAAGGCCAAGGCAGGAGGATCATCTGAGGTCAGGAGTTCGAGACCAGCCTGACCAACATGGTGAAACCTCATCTCTACTAAAGATACAAAAACTAGCTGGACGTGGTGGTGAACGCCTATAATCCCAGCTACTCCAGCTACTCGGGAGGCTGAGAGAGGAGAATCACTTGAACCTGAAAGGCAGAGGTTATAGTGAGCCAAGATCATGGCCATTGCACTCTAGCCTGGGCAACAGGGCAAAACTCCATATTAAGAAAAAAAAAATTATAGTAATAATAAGCTAAAAATTGTATTTAAAATGTTTTACCAACTGTAAGGCATTATAAATATAAAGTGTGGGCTGGGCACGGTGGCTCATGCCTATAATCCTAGCACTTTGGGAGGCCGAGATGGGAGGATTACCTGAGGTCAGGGGTTAAAGACCAGCTTGGCCAGAATTGTGAAATCCTGTCTCTAAAAAAAATAAAAAATAAAAATAAAGTGTTTATATATTTATTTACATATGTAACAAATTATAACTATGTATGTGTAGCTTATTTTCTCAATCCTTAGTTGGCTTTCTCACTACATATTGCCACAGGAAATCTTCTGTGGGGAGAGTAACTGAAAGAAAGCTACTGAGAAAAAATTCTTATTATTATTTTTTGAGATGGAGGTCTTGTTCTGTTACCCAGGCTGCAATGCAATGTCACAATCTCGGCTCCCTGCAACCTCCACCTCCCTGGTTCAAGCAATTCCCTGCCTCAACCTCCTGAGTAATTGGGATTACAGGTGCCTATCACCATGCCAGGCTAATTTTTTTGTATTTTGAGTAAAGACGGGGTTTCACCATCTTGGCCAGGCTAGTCTTGAACTCCTGATCTTGTGATCCACCACCTTAGCCTTCTGAAGTGCTAGGATTACAGGCATGAGTCACTGGACCTGGCTGAAAAAATTATTTTTAACATGATATAACTTAGCAATATATAATACAATAAATAGTTATTATATATATTGTCTAATTTGATTTTCATATACTAAAAAGAACATATTATTCCCAATTTACATATGAGAAATTTGAGGCTCAGAAAGGTTAATCTTACCCAAAGTCAAAGAACAAGTCAGTGGCAGAACTAGCATTTGTATTTACATTGTTTAAGTCTTCAGTCTAGCATGCTTTTATCTACCCCATACGGCTGTCTACACTTCAGTCTGACTTTTACAAATCCCTGTTTGTCCGATAATTGTCTCTGTAGCCTGGGAAGGTAATTTCATCATCTGGGTCTCAGACTGACCTTAAACCTTCTAACTGTGAGATTCAATTTTCTGCTGTTTTAATTCAGTTGACCTTGCCCATTCTTGGATAAAGCCTCAGATGCCATTTTTTCAAACCACTTAGTTGGATAGTGTGTATTTCCATGTTCTACATGAATAAGAACGCTTAAATACTAAAAGGGATCATTACTTAAATGTATATGCCAATGCCTATTACATCTTAAAAGCATCTTTGTTTTTTCCTTTTTTAGTGTTCGAAAGAATCCTCAAACCAAGAAAATACAAATTACCTCTTTTGTCTTTAAAGTGTCAGCCTATGTAAGTGTGAGAGAACTTTTGCAACCAAAGAATTTAATTATTTTTTATTAATAGAGTTATTACAACTGGAGTTAACAATTAGGACAATGTTATGCCTAGGAGAAAAGACAATGTTACTTAGAGTTTTATTAAAATTAAAAGTTGATAGAGTATGCTTTTGTTTGGAGAACAGTTTGAACTGTTTCCCTGGCTTTCATTCTGTCATCTGTATCTAATAACATTGCCTACTTATTTGAGAGCTAAATCTGTGACTCAAATGGAGTAGAACACGGTTCTCTTAGTCTGTCAAACCATCGTTTATAGGGCAAATAAATAAGAATGCCATAAATGTCTTTATACAAAGAACCTGGTACTTGAATTTTATTATTATACAAAAGATGTTATTACATATAAGCAATTTCTAAGTATCTTCATTCAATCACCTAACAAGTATTTATTAAATATATACTTTGTATCAGCTATTGTACTAGGCTAAATCACAGGGATAAATAAAAGAAACATACTTCGTACCCGGTGCAATGGCTCACGCCTATAATCCCAGCACTTTGGGAGGGCGGATCGCCTGAGGTCAGTATTTTCTCAGTCAGCCTGGCCACATGTTGAAACCCCATCTCTACAAAAAATATAAAGAATTAGCCAGGTGTGATGGCAGACACCTGTAATCCCAGCTTTGCGGGAGGCTGAGACATGAGAATTGCTTGAATCCAAGAAGCAAAGGTTGCAGTAAACTGAGATGGTACCAACATTACACTCCAGCTTAGGCAACAGAGTGAGACTCCAACTTCAAAAAAAATTTTTTTTAAATAAAAGGGGCCGGGCATGGTAGCTTATACTTGTAATCCCGCACTTTGGGAGGCCAAGGCGGGCAGATCACCAGGTCAGGAAATTGAGACCATCCTGGCTAATGCAGTAAAACCCCATCTCTACTAAAAATACAAAAAATTAGCTGGGCATGGTGGCATGTGCCTGTAGTCCCAGCTACTTGGGAAGCTGAGGCAGAAGAATCACTTGAACCCAGGAGGCAAAGGTTGCAGTGAACTGAGATCACACCACTGCACTCCAGCCTGAGGGACACAGCGAGACTCTGTCTCAAAGAAAAAAAACACACACAAAAGAAAGAAAACAAAGATAGAAAACTGCTAAATAGAAAATTTTTGCAGTATTATCACTTTAAAAGCATGTTTTAAAAATGGTGGTATTTGTCTTTGGACTATAAATTCCTTAAAGACAAAAATTATACATGTAAGTATAGAACATACGTATTCCTATAATAGTAGACTGTGCTGTCCATAAATATTTTAAATCATTAATTTCTAGTTTATTGTCAAAGATTTTATATATGTTTCCTGTTTTGACAGTAAATACATAATAGGCAAATATGTTGATTATCACTTAAACATAGTTGTATTCTAAATAATTTAGGCTTGTCTTTTTCAGGATTCTGCTGGTATGTGCTATCCTTCAACAAAGAATCATGAACAGACATTTTCTTACTTTATTGTGGATCCTATCAAGCGTCACCTGCATGTTTTATATCACTGTTATGGTGTAGGAGACATGTCTTAATGCTCGTTCAGATGATGTACATCTACTGCTTTTTATTTAACATTTTTCTATTTTAATACTAACTTATAAACATTTACTTTGCAAATTAATTCAAGAAAAATATAAAGAGCTTACTTAGAGCAGAAGAAAGCAAACACCAAGATGCCTTTTTTAAAAATTTGTGTGGAATACTAACCAGGGATCAAATTTCATCCCTAATGAAATCTATACCAAAAAATTTGTGGAATTTTTACAAAAAGTTACAAGGAATTAGAAGTCTAATTCATATTTGTTGCATTATGATCCAAGTGAATCCTCAATTTTTCACGTATTTTAATTTATAAGCTAATTAATTCTGGATTGAAAATGTAGCAGAAGGCTGAGCGCGGTGGCTCACGCCTGTAATCCCAGCACTTTGGAAGGCCAAGGCAGGCAGATCACAAGGTCAGGAGTTCGAGACCAGCCTGCCTAATACAGTGAAACCCTGTCTCTACTAAAAATACAAAAATTAGCTGGGCATGGTGGCACAAACCTGCAGTCCCAGCTACTTGGGATCCTGAGGCAGGAAAAATGCTTGAACCTGAGAGTCAGAGGTTGCAGTGAGCTGAGATCGCACCACTGCACTCTATACTGGGCAACAGAGCAAGACTCAAAAAAAAAAAAAAAAAAAGAAATGTATCAGAAAACTAAACATTTCTACCACTGATCATTCATATGAATTGTTAGTTTATTTAACTTGTTTCATTTAATTACATTTCTTCATTGCAGAAGCCTTTACATCTCTAAAGCTAGGAGAAGCATAACAATGTTTTTGCTTCATTTGTTTCACTTAAAAGCCTCAATAAAAAAAAAAAGTTCTGATGAAAGTAGTTGTAAACTCTTTTATCACATAATAAATAAAAGCTGCAGCAGCCCCACAGCTAATACAAGAGACACATGTAAACAGAGAAGGTTGCCTGATGGTATTAGTAAGTTGTTCAAAGAGTGAGAAGCAGGTTGTCTTAGTACCGTTCCTCTTGTCATTCATGGAATGAATATATGACCTAGATTTTTTTTATGACAAAAATCATTGATATATATCCCATGGGTGATGGGAAGCCTGTAAGAAATGTTGAGGTTTTGAGGAGGAGCAAGTTTGAAAGATGTGTTTCTGTGTTATGGGACAAAGAGGATAATCTTGTATTTGAACTTGAATTTGAATCTGGAATGCAGCTGGCAATTTGGGTATAGAGCTCAGGAGAAAGAGTATGTTTTCCTTTTTACTTCTAATACTTAGCACAATGCCTTGGCATATGAAATGTTTATTGAATGAATACTTTTCAGATATGTTCATAATACCTATAGGTTTTTTAAAATTACATAAAAACATAAAATTAAGAACTGAAATATGTTTGCTGCCAGCTTTGCTGCTTACCTCACAGTTCCCTATGACCTGGAGACCCTTTCAATCAAACAAGCAGTCAATCAGTAATTCTTTTTGAATACCACCAATTCTATGCAAGGCACTGGGCAGTTTACTTTGGGGAAACATAGACTCCTTATAAACCTATTTAGGAAGATAACCTTTAAGAGTGTGACTACCAACAGTGATTATTACATGAATTCAGAGATAGAAGAGATCACTATGAACTAAAATAGGCTTGGTCTGGCTTCTATGGAAAGACTGGTAGGATTTCAACAACTCAGGAGAACAGCATTTCAAGGGAGTGTCTTATATGGCAGGGTACTCTAGGCCTGGCCCTGGGATGAAAGTCCAAAGGCAAAAGATGAGAAAGTGATACTGAGGAATTGCCACTGTGTTTTCTCTGCTCTAAAGGTGGAGGTAGATAGCACCTTTGAGGAAAGACTGTTCCATTGTTTTGGGAAAATCATTTGATGACTCATATGTGATTAGGCAAATTACCTGTATTGTAAGGCATAATAGAGTAGTGATAAAGAGTTTGGGCGGGGCTGTCAGGTTGCCTAGGTTTTTAAATTTGCCATTACTTGCTGTGCAACCTTGAGCTGGTTACTTAACTGTCTGTGCCTTAGTTATCTTTTTTATAAAATGGAAAAAATAATAGGACTACCTCATAGGTTTTTTTGGAAAATTATATTAATTAATACATATGTTGGGCTTTGAATGATGGCAGGCATATAGTTTAAGTGCTCATGAATTTTGGCTGCATTCATTCTCTACTGAGGTAATACAAAAAAATTTTTTAAAAAATGAGAAACAGGCCGGGCACAGTAGCTCACACCTGTAATCTCAGCACTTTGGGAGGCCAAGGTGGCCAGATCACCTGAGGTCGGGAGTTCGAGACCAGCCTGACCAACATAGAAAAACCCCATCTCTACTAAAAAATACAAAATTAAGTGGACATGGTGGCGCATGCCTGTAATCCCAGCTACTTGGAAGGCTGAAGCAGGAGAATTGCTTGAAACCGGGAAGCAGAGGTTGCAGTGAGCTGAGACCGCACCGTTGCACTCTAGCCTGGGTGACAGAATGAGACTCGGTCTCCAAAAAAAAAAGAAAAAAAAGAAACAGTGAACTTTCTGCATAATAAAGTAATAAGTTGTCTTCTTGGGGCCAGAATTGCTTTGGTACAGATTATTATTAATTTGACTAGAGTATAAGAGATGGGAAAATTGGTTTTTCCTCTTTGGGGCCCCCAGAGAATGTAGAGATCCTGAGCATGAACTCCTGGTATTTCTTTGGCAGTATTTGTATGCTTGGAATTATTTGCTCAGCAATTAGTTATAATTTGTTTAATATCTTTCATGAAAACAATTACAGTGTCTATTTTGTTTACGTTTGTGTCCACAATGCCTAGAACTTGAAAGACAATAAATATCCATTATCTGACTGACAGAGTACAGTTGATAGAAACTGGCCTGTGAAATGCAACTGTGGAGAGTGTGGAAAGTGAGGGAGGGGGAAAGGTTGGCAACGAAGGTCATAGATCATCAGTATGGAAGCATCCTCAGAAGGGACTTAGCTGATGGACTCTAGCAGCCTTCATACCTAGGTGCCCACTTTAAATTTTTTTTTGAGATGAAGTCTTGCTCTTGTCTCACAGGCTGGAGTGCAATGGCACAATCTCTGTTCACTGCAAACTCTGCCTCCCAGATTCAAGCCATTTTCTTGCCTCAGCCTCCCGAGGAGCTGGGATTGTAGGTGCCTGTCACCATGCCAGCTAATTTTTGTATTTTTAGTAGAGACCAGGTTTCACCATGTTGGCCAGGCTGGTCTCGAACTCCTGACCTCAGGGAATCTGCCTACCTCAGCCTCCCAAAGTGCTGGGATTACAGGCGTGAGCCACTGCCCTTGGCCAAATTTACCGTATGGTTGTCCCTCTATTTATACTTAAACCTTTTGTGAAAATTTGCAAACTATTATACTCTGGATTCATACTGTACGTAGTCTGGAGTTAGCTGCCCAGCATGGGATTAGATATGCAGCCCAGGAACATGCCTTTGGCAAAAACTGTCCCTAGAGAGCAGCAGCGGCAGCCTGTAGAAGCCAGCTTTGTAAAAGCCAACTGTGATCAACTGAGAGAAGAGGGGTTATCTGGAGCGAGACAACTGGCCACGGTGACAAGTGACCACAGAATGGTTTTCTGAGACTTTCTGAGAATATTCTTCAAAAATTCCAAAAGTTATTTAAAGAGAGGGTTCTTGCAGAATCGTAATTTGGACATTAAAATGAGGGACTTAGGCTGCAGTCTGGAGAAGTTGGGATATTTAAATCACATGAGCAAAAATAAATTCAAAGATACAAAAACATAAGATGATTTGGGGGGACATGAATACATTTGAGAAATTAAAACTAAGAAGTTCTGGCCGGGCGTGGTGGTTCACACCTGTAATACCACCACTTTGAGAGGCAGAGATGGGTGGAACACGAGGTCAGGAGTTCTAGACTAGCCTGCCCAATATGGTGAAATCCCATTGCTACTAAAAATACAAAAATTAGCTGAGCATGGTGGTGGGCACCTGTAATCCCAGCTACTCAGGAGGCTGAGGCAGGAGAATCGCTTGAACCCGGGAGGTGAAGGTTGCAATGAGCCAAGATTGTGCCACCACACTCCAGCCTGGTGACAGAGTGAGACTCCATCTCAAAAAAAAAAAAAAAAAAAAAAAAAAAAAACCTGAGACATTCTGTCCTGGAGTTCTGGATAATAACAGGGAAGATAGATTACTGGGGACTTTATCACTGAGTGCTGTGGGCACAAAGCTAAGAAATTTAAATATTTTAAGTAAGTGATGTATAGCAATCATTAAGGACTTTAGAGTAGGAGTGGTAGCATCAAGAAAGTGATATTCTAGAAAGATTAGTCCAGTAGTGATAAATTAGGGTGAAAAAAGTTCAGAGTCCAAAGATCAAATAGAGGTACATAGTAGTTGTCAAAGCACAGAATTAACTGTACTGAGCTCATAGCAATGGTAACGTCTTGGGGCATCATGAAGTATGGGACAACAGAATGCTCGATTGAAAAAAAAATCAAATATGACCCAAAAAAAGGTAGCAGACTGGGTGAATTATGAAATGATGGTGTTTGAGGTACTAAGAACTGGGAAGTGGCAACTGTGGTAGGAAGCTGTGGTCAGAGAGGGAAACTCCCTTGTCCTGAGCTCTCTCCTTGTATTCAGATTCACAGGTCTGTCATGCTTGTTCCAACTCATTCTCAACCAGCGTTGGTCCTTAAAACTTTGAAAACAGGTCTGAAGGTTCTGGAAATAGACTGGGCTTCTTAAGGAAAACTATCTACCCTGAAGGATTCTCAGTCATCCAGTTAATCAGCAAGAATTTTTTTAAGAACTATCATTCATTGTCATGCACACCACAGGTGACTTTTTTTTTTTTTTAGATAGAGTGTCTGTCGCCCAGGCTGGAGTGCAGTGGCACGATGTCGGCTCACTGCAACCTCCACCTCCCAGGTTCAAGCAATTCCTGCTTCAACCTCCTGAGTACCTGGGATTACAGGCATCCGCCACCATGCCAGGCTAATTTTTTGTATTTTTAGTAGAGACAGGGTTTCACCATGTTGGCCAGGCTGGTCTCGAATTCCTGGACCTCAAGTGATCTGCCCGCCTTGGCCTCCCAAAGTGCTGAAATTACAGGCATGAGCCACTGCGCCCCACCCCACTGATGCTTATTGATTATGTTATGTGCTGGCCGCTTTCTAGGCACTGCAAATACAGCAATGAACAAAAATTTCTAAATTAGGGGGCTTACATTCTTTTTTTTTTTTTTTTT